GACTTGAGATTCTTTATAGCTTAGATTCCCGTAAAATAAAGGATGGACAAAGGCCATGTTTCACCTTAGACAGAGTTAGAATGTTGCATAGAACCTGACTATCAGATCATGGAGTGAAGTTTAGTCCCATCCGTAAAGTTCACTTCCACCAAACAAGTTACCGAAGCTCTGACGTCGTTGTAGGCGATGATAAGATACCAATCATTTGTAAAGTAAAAGTCTCGTTGGGAGTACTTTACGGGGCGTTTTACGGCTGATGCCATTCACCTAGTCGCAAAGTCGGTTAGAACGATAGATCACGCTGTTTAGATTATCGCCCTAATCAAAGTGCAATCGTTATTCTATTATCAGTTTCAGGTGTAGCGAGTACATGAGAAAAATGTTTGAGAAAAAACCCGGTTAACCCAGGTACGCGAATATTACAGTACACTATGAAGTTTGTGCTCCTTTTCGGTTTTGAAGTAGATCAGAGTTGACACCAAGAACAGGTGAAGCAACTTGGTTTGATTAATGAACAGCTCGCTGAGGCTTACTAAACCGAACAAAATGCTTTTCAAAGGGAGTTTGAACTGGCCATTAGGAGAGTACCGCTTAATGATTTATTAGGAGTTGTCGACATGGAAGGATGGTACATAGATTTAAGAACGACTCTTTCTTCTAGAATCTAGATAGTGGATAGAAATTTTAGCACAATTTATTTATTTGTGAACAGCATAGGTTCGTCAAAAATATCGGTTTGATTTAAGGACGTTTAGGGATGGCTTTGAGTCGCTGGGTATCTGTAGCCAATTTGAGCACTTTTCCTTTGAAGTCTTTATCTTAAAAAATTATGCTAGAAATATAAATATGCAGTTAATTTTGTTCGAACCATCTGTGTATATAGCGGCCTAGAATAAGGGGAACTGCCCTACCATCTCTGAAGGTTTCTGCCTTCAGTGTTTATGCAGACGTTAATCTGCAGAAACCTTTAAAAGCAGTTGGATCAAATGACTTTTCTCATTACGGCGATATGGCGCAGAAACTTCCTTTCACCTCATTTTAGAACTCGGCGCGGTCACTGGGAAAAGACAAACATATATTTGAGTTAAGAACCGGGTTAACGTTAGTTCCGCAAAGTGAAGGGAGAGTACTCGACGCTATTGCTTACCTCTTTATCTGGACAGTTACGGCAGAAGTCGGTCATTGGAAAACCCATTTTTTCTTCTTGTATTGCCATTAGGCAATTACAAAAACCATCCTGAGTTTAAGACCTTACAGGAGGCGCTTATAGCATATATTACATGTCGAGTCTGGACGAGATTTGTCGTACTTCCCAATAAGTTGGTTCTCTTATGCATCTTCTGTGCGTCAATTGGAAAAGTGTCTGTGTCTTATGCAACTGCTTCATGGGAGGTACTTGTGGTGGAAAGTTCCTGGAAGTATATACCACTATACCCGTCGAAATATATGACAAATAGAGCAATATTTCCATGCCGTTTCTTCTTCCCATTGATTCCTTACAGAAATCTGTGTGGTAAAGCCATTTTCAAAATTGGAGGTCGTCTTGTTTGGGGACTTCAATTTAACAGGACAGATGCCTAGAATTTTCGACTGACCAAATCCTTTACCATAGTAATCTGTCTGATTGCATGACAACTTGCCTCTAGTTTACAGTGAAGGTTCACAGGGAAGAGATTAAGCACAAACTCAAGAGCCTTGGTGGGAATGTGGGAGCATATATGCCACCCTATTCGATGAAGCAGTGATGGCCTACCGGAATTTTCTGCAGAATTGCGTTTCGCAGTGAGTCTCCTTTTCAAAATGATGTTGAGGTATCAAATTTCGTCCGCCAGTGGCAGTCTGACCCCATTTATTCAAGGCGGCTGACATCGAGGAATTTGGTTTTGGTACGAGGTGAGAACGATTAGTGTCTTAGCAAGATAGGATATGAATACCACTTTTGCATTTGTCCACATTTTGGGTATGAAGGGCAGATTTCGGAAATCCTAATAAATTTTTGTCCAAATAAGTACCCAAATAGCCATACGCTGATTGAAGTTCTGCGAGAAAGATCTTTCATGGGACAGATGGTATAAATGAAAGCCCAAATATTTGTCAATAATTTTATTGAGCTTCTACTGCAATTTGTGCAGTGCGTCTTGACGTTATAACCCAAACGGAGGGTCCTACAATTTTGCGCCGTCTCCGAGCATTAAATCGTTTCTTGTGAGAAGTTTTTCATGGCAGTGGTACGCTCGTGGATTGGCCATAGCATGCCGAAGGCTATCAACCTAGGTCATACCGAATAGTACGCAACTTTAGTCACTCGGCCACGACAGCCGGAAGGTTTAACTGAAAAAATAGCACAAAAATTAAGTGAAATAAATAAATAAAATAAATACAATGAAGCGAATCAGAATCACTGTGCACATTTTTTATATTTGTATCTTCTTTCTCACCCATTCTTCATTTCCACTTACTTGTGTCTGTGATAAGCAGATGCACTCGGCTGGACATGATTTCGATGTTTCGGACAGCTGCGAATTCCATAAGCATTCCAGTGTAATCGCAATTATGAGGAGCCAAGAATTGCACATTTCACGGAGTGTTGAGCACGGAATGGCGCGCCGGCACGTGCTGCTCTATAGCGTGTATTTATATGTACTATGTATGTAAGTACGTATGCGAGTTAAAAACAATGATGGAATTTTGTAACTATGCCTGTCCAAGTACATATGTAAGTATATTCGTACGTAGGCAGCAAATAAGCTGACACTGATTACAACCACTGAGGGACTTCCAGTGCAAGTTTCGCCAGCAGCGCCCTTCTCTTATGTCCACTTGCCTTCTGGTGTTTTTTTTTTCTTCTCAACTGCTTTTACTGGTATTCTGTTGCGTTTATTGTAATGAGGACCTGCAATGCAATGGGAAGTAGAAAAAAAGTAAAAAGTAAGACATATAGTAAAAAAATAAGAAATGTGTATGTATGTACATATGTGGGATGTTTATAACGAGGGAATCCGGAGAAATAGCGGCAGATTGAATTATATGAAAATTCGCAAGAGGATTTTCATAATTTTTTCTCAAGTGGTTGGCCATTACTTTATCGTTTTTATGAAGCAACAAAGTGTACGAATAATTTTTGGTTAGCACGCAATGCAAGGAAGCTGCAAGTAGCAGTAACTGCTGGCAACCGAAAATGCTGTAACATGAAAAAATGGGGAAAACAATAATAACAATTGCAAAAAACACTGGTCAAAAACAAT